TTTGATTTATTTTTCAGTCTAAACTTTGAGTCAAATTTAATTATTTCTGCTAAGATTACATTTCTTTGACTATTCATTTCAAGTAACTTGATTATTTTTTTCTTGTTTATACTAACATTGATTTCCTTTTGTCTAGTCTTGTTGTATTTTTGCATGAACATGACATATCATTCAAAGGTATTGATCCCTTAAATAACTGATTGTTTAGTAGGTTCTTGAAAAATAATGCCACAACAATGCCTTTCGCTGAGATCAGTAGACTTTTGAAGATGCTCTACGTAGATCAAGTAGCGTTAGGAGAGAGTCTACCTTGAAGGAGACGAATCGGGCATATACCTACTGAGATAAAAAAGTGACTCAAGAACATTTGATGCTGAAGCCAACAGTTGAAGATCATGAACCAGCTCTAAAAATTTCAAAAAGTAAGAGACGATGTAACCCCCTAGACCCGGTCTAAACGTTAGACCCAAACCTAAGCAGTCACATGTCCCATTCAGAGATTCCTTTATATTGAAAACAACTTATAAAACATTAGATATAATACAGAACAAAATATCAATAATACAGATATATCCAAAACGATAGCGAAATACATGTCACCAAACACAATTGGAAAACATATAGAGATATACGTTTATACAAAATAAAGTAATTGATCTCCCCTGATGCACAATCTGCTAGTTTACGGACTACTGTTATCTGAAAAAGGTTAAAATTTACAAAATGAGCTAAAAAGCCAGTGTGCTCCAAACAGTATATAAAAACATACGAATAAAATATTCCAGCAAAATTAGTTATCAAACATGTTTTAAAAATATGAATACTACCCCCATCCGTCAAGTCCAAAATGTGTAGGTTCCCTAGAACCATAAACCCACCGTCAAGTCCAGTAAGGCCCTGAGCACACAGCCGAGGAGCCAGTAAGGTCCTCAGTACAAAGCCGAGCAGCCTCCAGGTATACTTCCTCCAACATTATTCCCCCAATAACAGTAATAAACATGTATGTATTCAAGTGAAAATGATGATTAATCCATTAAAACATGAAAATGTTTCATGCTTGAAAATCATATGCAGAAATTACAAAAACCATAAATCAGATCAGTAATATCCGGTAAATCAGATGTCGAGTAACAAGTATTCAAAAATCAGGTATCATGTCGTAACAATATTCAAAATTATCACCAATTTGAAACAAATTAGATGATAGTTTAAAACAGTAAGATAACACCGTCAGGAAACACACCTGTAACAGTCTGAGAAATCAGATAGGGAAGCCTACTACTGGGTCTGACAATCACGCTCTGTTGCAGCGCTAGATCCTACGAATTGGAAAAATCCATATTGGAATCCTAATATAAATAATCTTAATCTTTATTAAAAAATTTACGGAAACCTACAGGTAACTCTCGTAGTACGCGGTTCGGAAACTTACAGAGCTCGGTTCACAATTTTTAACGGTGGAGAATTCGATTTCAACAAATCGGAAACTTTGACCGCTTCACCTCCTCACGTTTCACTGCTGTTGGAGACAAGGAGGACACCAGTGAACTCAGAACGGCACAAGGAACACGATGGTGTGGGAGGTGTCGAAAAAGAAACAACGATCGGCGATGAATTTAAGATTTTCTCGACGGTGGTGCTAAAAAAACGTTAAGACTTTGACTTGAAATTCACGACGTTTGGTAGCGTTTCACTTCAATTGATTTAAGGGGTTTATTACTCGCTCGTTGACGAACACGATGGTGGTTTTAAAACGACGATCGGAATTCGGATGGCGTCAGAATTCGGTTTGGAAGTTGGTGTTGGAGAGGCAAATTATGAGCAATTGGTTTCTGTAAAACAGAAACCAATTGCACGCATATATAACCCAAAACCTGCCGACACTTCTAGGGTAAATTCAGGGCTTGGTCCCTGAATTTTCTTTAACTCTAAAAAAGGCTACAAGTTTTAAAAACTTTTAATTCAATTCTCAAATTTCGCCAAATTACTTAATTAAATTTTTTTCTTTTCAAATTTTCTGGGTTGTTATATGTTTGGGTTTTAGGGTTTTGTTTTTTGTGGATTATTTCTTCTGCTTCTATCTCTGAACCAAAAATGGCTGCTCAGACCGACAAAGAGATCGAAGAGATCCTCACCTCTCATCTAGAACAACAAAAAAATCGATGTAACTTTTTCATTTCCACTCGTTCATTTGGATTTCTTCTTCTTTTATTGATTTTCGTTTTCTCTCCTTTCGGGGTTCACAGTCCGAGCAACTTGTAGTTGAAGATGATGATGACGAAGAATACGGCGACGATGAGGAAGATGACAACGATGAAGATGGTGCCGACGTTAAATTTTCTTATTTCAGTAATTTCTTGTTCATTTGTTAAAAATTTGATTTGGCGTGAAATATATGTTATAGTATTTGGTTAAATTCTGTTTGCTTAGTTTTTATTTTAATATAATTCAATTTGATATATGTATGGTGATATGTAAGCAAATTTCAAATGCTTTAAGATAAGCTAGCTGGATCATTGGTCACAGGCTAAAGCAGCTTGAATTTGTGATTATGGACCAACTTCACTTCCTAGTCAAGTTGATATTCAGTATTTCAACCGGTTGATTTAGCTCAATTCTTGTGCTTCAATATTTGGTTTTAGCTTTTCGAATCTTGAATTTTGCTCGAGCTTCAGATCTAGCTTATACTGCTTTAATTTGGATCGGACCTATTACAATCCTGCATTTGGACCATATTATATTAGTGCTACTGATATTATATTAGTGCATTTGGACCAACCCGTAGAACTGCATGTCTAGTTGTCCCCCTCCTCGATTTTACCTATGGGTTGATACAAAATGAGCACTGTGGTAGTTTCTTAAATCGTTATTTCGATAATTTAGATACTGTCTCATGTTTATTGATGACAATATTGAATTGTCAATGCATAAAGTTCTTAGTTTATTCTTTGTATACCTCATATCAACTTCATTTGTACCATCGACATCTATTATTTACCAATTAATCCATTACATGTTTCGTGGATCACTGTGTAAAAATATTGAAAAGCATGTTAATGGAGAACTGTTCTTTATATAAATTTTGAACTGGTAGGTCAAAGCAAAGCAGAAGCGAAAAGAAGAGTCGCAAAGCTATGTTGATGCACGGGATGAAACCAATTCCAGGTGTTAGCCGAGTCACCGTCAAGAAGAACAAAAATGTCAGCCCCCTTTCCATATTGTTAAGCCATTCATGACTTCGCTGCCTAGTATGTTACTAGATGATAACTGATTTTACCGTTGAATTCAGATCTTATTTATCATTTCAAAGCCGGACGTCTTCAAGAGCCCCACGTCAGATACCTATGTTATATTTGGAGAGGCTAAGATTGAGGACTTGAGCTCACAATTGCAGACTCAGGCTGCCGAGCAATTTAAGGCTCCTGATCTCAGCCACGTGGTGTCTAAACCTGAGTCGACATCAGCCTTTGCTCTGGAAGACGAAGAAGTTGATTAAAGGGAAGTTGATTAAAGGGGAGTTGAGCCAAAGGACATTGGGTTGGTGATGACACAAGCGGGAGTCTCCAGGACGAAGGCTGTCAAGGCACTCAAGGCTGCCGATGGGGATATCGTTTCATCTATAATGGAGCTGACTACGTAAGAATGGTGTTATCTAGTGATATCTGATGGATTTTAGAGTTGTTGCTTTAGGTTGGATATCTTATTTTCTTTCCTTTTTTTTTCAAAATTTTCCTTATTATTTTTTCAAATGTTATATTTTCTTGTTATTTTTGACGTAAAAATCATATGGGAGTGCATCTTTGATATCTAGTTTTGGTTGGTTAGAAACGCTTTTCTGCTGCCCAGATTTTCTAAAGCTTTTGCCTTCCATATTTTCATCCTTGAAAACCTTTTCAGATTTAGATCTTAAAACGTGAATTTAAAATTCTGGGTTAAACTACCCCAATAGTCATTGAACTATGAGGTCAATTTTATTTTGACCATTAAACTATTAAAATGTTATAAATCAAATTATTTGATAAAGTAAATTTGTACAATTATATTTTTATTTCTTATTATTTATATATTTTATTAATTTAATTTTAATTTAATAAATTTAATCTACTAATCATGTGATACGTTGAAATGTGAAAAGAGGAGGTGAATCATACCTAGAGCATTAGGGAGAGTCTAAGGTAAAATGCCTAAAATAAGGAGCCATTGAATAAGATTTTCTTAAGGATAGATTTTCTCAAGGATAGAATAATAATTGTTTGATAAGAAAAAAGAAATTAAGAAAGATAGATTTTGGTGTCAATTTAAAATATTACTCAGGTTCAACCTAAAATGTTACGTATTTGATGAGAAGAATGGTTTCAATTTACAATGTTATCATTGTTTCTCAAATGAAAAAGATTTTAAACTCATGATAGTTTTTTAGGTTTAAACCTAAAAAATTATTTAAACTACATGATTTATTATAAACATTGTAACATTTTAGGTTATAACAAATGTTATTTATTCTAATCGAAAATTTTACTTGTGGAAAACGGTTATAACCTAAATGTTACATTTGTTTTTCAAATGAAAAAAATCTCTAAACTTATGATAACATTTTACGTATTTGTTAAGGGACCGATTTGTTATAAAACGTTAACATTATTGTAGATTTTATTATTTTTTTAAATTTTAGTGCTGAAAGGCGAAACCTATTCATACTTAAGCTAATTATGCAGTTTACCCAAAATTGAAAAGAAGCCACCGTCTTAAATCGGGCGAAACTCGGAAGCACTTCCAACTGAAATAATTCTTACAATAAAGCTTCTCGTCTCTCTTTCGACAGGTAATCACCTCTTGTCTGTGTTCATTTCGAATTTAATAATTTCGAATTTAATAATTTCGAATTTAATAATTTCTTCTCTCTCTTTGTATGCAACATAACCCTAATCTCTTAGTGAATCTATGTATTTTCATTGCTTTTTTGCTTGCATAGCGAAGTAATGGATAAATGAGTATCTCCTGGTTCAGGAAAAAAATGATTCTTTTTGTTTTGTTCTAAAAGGTTTATTTTTGTGTAATTTGGTTTCGTGTAGGCCATTGTTTTGTGCATAAACAAGTAAGGATGGAGAAAAATGAAGTGGGTATTTACTGAATTTTGTGTAATTTTGGTTCACATTGGAGCTTTAGTTTGTGCATAAACTAGTTAAGGATTATAAAACTGAAGAGGATATCACTGGGTTCTGTGGAAAAAAGGGAGAGAATTTTGGTTGAAAAAGCTTCAGTTTTTCGTTTGTAATGGAAGAAGGGACGGGTATAAACATGGTTCTACCAAATTTAGGGGGATAAATCTAAAGTTTTGGATATAAAACCGTTGCGTACTTTGGTTCCTCAGTTCCCGGCTGTGTCTAACGGTCCACCTTTCGTTTGTGCTCCTCTTAATGGCCCACTTCCGTCGGGGTTTTCGCCGATTTTCCCCTTTAGCAGACCACAAGGATCCCATTCAATGCCTGGTCTTAATCAAAACGAGTTCTATCCTGCTGTGCCGATTCGGTCATTTAGAGCGGAACCACCGGCTTCTAATGGCCAAAATGTGCATGAATATAAGTCAGCTGGGTCGAGTTCTGTTAAAAAGAAAGTGAAGAAAAGGAAAGTTTTTGAGTTTGCATTCACTGTTGTTACTGATTTCAATCCTGGAATTAGTTTATCTAAGCGAGATGACGGGACCAAGGAATTGGTTGAAAATGTGCTTTGGAGGTTTGATGCACTTAGGAGAAAGCTTAGCCAAATATAAGACAGCGCCGAACCTCATTCTGGGATTATTAAGCGTTCAGTGCTTAAAGCTAGCAACATAATGATGAGCAAAGGGGTGCGGACTAACACGAGAAAGAGAATCGGATTTGTTCCTGGTGTTGAAATCGGGGACATTTTCTTCTTCCGATTGGAGTTGTGCTTAGTGGGGTTGCATGCTCAGTGCATGGCTGGTATTGACCCCATGCCTATGAAGGGTGATTTAGAGGGAGAACGAGTGGCTGTAAGCATCGTTTCATCCGGAGGGTATGATGATGATGTCGAAGATACCGATGTTTTGGTATATACTGGTCATGGTGGGAATGCCAGTGGTGATAAAGAAGCATCCGATCAGAAGCTTGTGAGGGGCAATCTTGCTTTGGAAAAGAACTTACACCGAGCCAATGAAGTAAGAGTCATTCGAGGTTTTCAGGATACCTCCCACCAAACGTCGAAGGTCTATGTATACGATGGGCTTTACAAGGTCCAGCAGTAATGGATGGAGAAGGGGAAATCGGGTTGTAATATGTTCAAGTATAAACTAGTTAGGATCCCTGGGCAACAAGACGCTTTTGCGACTTGGAAATTGATTCAGAAATGGAAAGGTCTTCCTTCAAGGGATGGACTTATACTTCCCGACCTCACTTCTTGTCACACCCCAATTTAGGGGCTAAAAATTAAGAAATTATAAAGTATTGATTTTAATTGGTATTTTAGGAGAAATTGATGATTAAATTGTAAAATTTCAAAGTTGGCAGATCATTTTAAGAAGTGTAGGAAATTCAATGACTAAACTCATAGTTTACCTATTTTTATATGATAAATTATAAACCCCTTTCTCGGTATGTTTCTGCAGAATTATTTCTTATTTTTTCTTCCCCTCAATCCTCCTTTGAGCTCCGATCTATTCACTGTCCGATCGTTGTTTGACGAACCGAAATCACCATCGTATTCGTTGTCGACCGATGAATAAAATCATTCAAACCTCTCGTCGTGAATTGTAACACCCCAATTTAGGAGCTAAATTTAAGAAATTATAAAGTGGTGAATTTAATTGGAATTTTGGAAGAAATTGAGGATTAAATTGAATATTTTCAAAGTTGATAGACCGTTTTAAGAAGTACATGAAATTTAGTGGTTAAACTATTAATTTAGCCAATTTTCTATAGGAGAGAATTATAAACTCTCCACGTGCGCAGATAAGCATAAATTTTTCCAGTTTTCCCTCTCCGATCAACCAAATTTCAACTTCGATTTACTCGCCGTCCGACCTCTGATCGATGAGCCGAAACCACCATCGTGTTCGTTGTCAACCGAGGAACAAAACCTCTCAAACCTTTCGTTGTGAATCATCGCCGTTCGTCGTTAATTTTAATCGGAAGTATTGTCGGTAATAACTCGGTTTTAGTTGGTTTTTCATCGATTCATGACGATCGGGTCATCCGTTTACGACACCTCCCGCACCATCGTGTTCCTTGCATCGTTTCGAGTCTGGCGGTGTCATCCTTGGTCTCCGTCGACGGCGGCGCGTGAGGAGGTGAAGCGGTCAAAGTTTCCGATTTGTTGAAATCGAGCTCTCCGCCGTTCAAAAAATTTGAACCGAGCTTTGTAAGTATCTCGAAATCGCTCAAAATAATTTTTAGGAATTGTTCCGGGAATTTAGCACTATTCACGTGCCCCACACGCCGCCACTGCGCGTGGGGAAGGAAAAAATGACTGGTTTGACCAGTTTTGGAACTGTTTTGACCGGTTTGACCGGTCACAACCCGACCCGACTCGTTAACCCGACCCGACCCGTTGACCCGACCTGACCCGTTGACCCGACCCGTTGACCGTTGACCGGCGTTGACCACTGTTGACCAAAACTTTGACTGGCTTTGACCGGGCATTAAACGACCTTTGACTTTGACTGAGTATACTTATCCTGACATTTTTCGACGTTCCAAATCCGATTCCGCAATCCGTTTCTCGAAATTCGAACCCCGAAGGCCTCGAAATTTCTGGTCAAACCCGTTGACTTTGATTTTGACCAAAAATTCCAAATTTCCGAAAAGTCATATTTTATGCTTTCGACGTCCTGAATCCGAATCCGAAGTCCGTTTCACCAAATTCAAACCCGATAAGCTATTTTTCACTGATTTATCACCCGATTAGATCTGTTTGTCTCAATTAAGCTCCGTTTCTGATATAATTTCTGTTGCTATGGATCCGAGGAAATATTGGATGATGATTTCAAGATCGAGGGCGTTCGAATGGAATTTTATGGTCGATCAGTATTGTACGGAAATCGAGATAATACTTTACTACCTCTTTATGCTTTATGGAACATGTGAATATTGGTAAATGCATGATTAAGATAATGTTGGTCTCATTTGTGTAGTTTATTAATTTATACACTCGATCTGAATACGGTAAAAAGGTTCAGAAATTGATTATGGTTCAGATGACTTTTATAAGAAATTGAGGGATTGTTATAATTAAATTTCAAATTTTGTGCTCAGTGATAAAGAAATCAACCCGGATCTGTAGCTTATAATATATGTCATTAAAGATTAAATATTAAAGATACTCGGATGAGAAATCATGAGAATATTCTGATAGGGTAAAATTACGAAAATACCCTTATATTGTAGGATGACAAGAATTGTCCCTGGAAGTTGGTTAATAACTCTGAAAAGATATATTGATCCGATATAACTACTGATGTGCATAAGAAATGTAGTTTACTTGGAAATTATGGATAACCGGTTTTTAACCCCAAGAGGATTTATGGAAGATACTAGAAGTCTGTTAAGGAATTATTTCAAGATCAGAGAAGGTTCGAGAAAACAATTAATTATAGGATCTCAAAATTATATTATTTTTTGTTAAGAGCTAATATCGAAATTATCTGGTTAAGAAATTACGGAAATACCCTTGAGAGGTAAAATAGTTTGAGTTGACCTTGAATGAGAAAGTACTTTGAGGATTCGTACTTAACTCAATTTAAGTACGTATTTGGTTGTTAAGATCCTGACTTAGTTCAGGAAAATTCCTGATATTCCGTTTGTAAAATTTGAGAAGACACTTGACCCAGAAATATCCGAGTTATGAGTAAATACCTGAAGAATAATTTGTCGAAGTGCTCTATTGTCATAATTGTTCGAAAGGACTGAAATAAATGATAACATTGAATTTAATAGTAAGATCGGACGGAAGAAAATGATTGAAATAGGCTGAATTTGTAAAATGACCAAAATACCCCTGTAATAGAAATGACCCAAGAATATCACCAAGCTCAGGAATGATTGGATATCCTCGAGCTCTATAATGAATGGAATAAAACTAAATGCCAAAATGACCAAAATACCCTTAAGGCCTATACTAAGTAAATATCTTGGATTAATTAAGGAATCCAAATAAGCATAGGTGTTAGACTACCTTTAAAAGTAATGGAACACAATTTAAATGAGTAGATCAACCCTAAAGTTATGTCAATACCTGGATGGCATAGATATTACTTGAATGCGTGTTCATCTTCTCAAGTTTGGCTCGATGATAAATTTTTGGAAGTGTTAAGCTCAGCTCAACTCTAGATCTTATTCAGTACTAAGAATTGGACGTTTGTTCGACAAATCAACCATGAAGACCAAATTGAATGGAACGAAAGTACAACATATATCTGAAATTCAGTAACATTTTAATTACTCTGGGAAATCCCAAAGTATCTGAAATGGACTTGAATGCTAAATGAACTAAGTAACCTCAAGGACTAAGGATTAAGTAAGAGATTGGAGTAAATTTGGAAACTCGGATGAACTTATATGATGTATCATCCCTATGGATTATGAACCATAAATCAAAGTACGTCAGCATTTCCTGGTATAGTTGAAACATGGAAATGAAATAAAGACCATTAGAATATTTGTTCGTCTCCTTAAGATATGTTCAGTGATGACTCAGAAGATGATACATGGATAAGAATATTTGGTATTAAAGAGTGAATAACCTGGACGGTTAATGAATTGACAAGTTGATAAGTATTGGTTCTGGAAGCTATTCATCTGGAGTTGTTCGATAATCAGATTAATCGTCATAGATTGTAAAGATTCTGAATACCCTTCAGATTTTGTAAAGCTTCCGAAAATTATCCGAATAAGATGATCTTAATAAATTATATTCTGAATAATTGATGACTCTGTCAGATATTGAACTCTTCTAATAGTGATTCTAATTCCCGACATTCTATCGGTAAACTGAAGATATGTGTTTCTCTGGCCGATAAGATTATCTTGTAACTCTAGATAATATCTGGAAACTCTAGTGTGTTCCCTACTTATATGAATATTTTATCTGATTTCTGATTTGAATTCTGTTTTGACATCTGATCTGAAATTTGTTCTGATATCTGTTCTGAATTATGTTTTGATTTCTGATATCTCCGTTTAATGACGGAAAAATGTTTTAATTGGGGGGTATTGTTGAAGGAAGAATTTCCGCAGGTTCCTCGGCTTTGTGCTCAATGCCTTATATGATGTGTTGGGTTGGGTGTATGGTTCTGGGGAACCTACACAGTATGATGTGTGGGGATGGGGGTATATATATATATATATATATATATGTTTTAAAAAGATCTGAAAAGTTACATGGTTTTCGGGAACACACTAGATAACCTATTATGATCTCCTGAACTCAGTCATCCTAAATATTTCTCTGAAATGAAAGCTCATTGTCCGTTACCACCTGAAATATCAGTAGGATCTCTGCTCAACATAAAAATCTATAAATGTTCAGAAATAATAAGGAAATATATATTTATATGTATCTACACGTTCATCAGCATCATCTGGTAGTTCTGTATTACTGAGCTTTCCGAAGCTCACTCTATTACTCACCTTTTTAGGTTAAAAGGATTGTACTAGTGCATCTATCGACTTCAGTAAGAGAGTTCTTCCGGCGTTGTTGCAGAGTATGATACATTTGATTAGGGGGAATGTAATTGTATTTTGTTTTATATACGAGTCTGAAAATCTGTTTTATTTTTAAATAGTGACAAATGATTTTATAAGTTTACATGTTCTGATAAAAAGTTTTAAATTTTCCGCTATTTTTACAGTGGGTCGCTCTGGTGGCCCTAATGTGACTTCCCGGATCGGATCGGGTTACCCGCATCGGTCTGGGGGGTTACATGAATCGGCGTCTTTTGTCGTAAATTTAAACTGGAAGTATCGTCGGTTTTAACTCAATCTCTGTTAGTTTTTCGTCGATTCACGTCGATCCGGCCACCCATTTTCGACACCTCTCACACCATCGTGTTCCTTGCATCATTTTGAGTCCACTGGTGTGCTCCGTCGTCACCGACGCATGGAGGGGTGAGGAAGTCAAAGTCTCTGACGTTTCAGAATCGAGCTCTCCACCGTTCAAAATTGTGAAACGAGCTTGGTAAGTGTCTCAAAATGCCATAAAATATTTTTTTAGAAATTTTTCAGACTCGATTGGACTGTTCACGTGCAGGGACAGCGCGTGGGGGAGCTTCGGAAACTGTTGGGGCAGTTTGACCTAGTTTTGACCCGACCCGTTGACCGTTTACCGTTAACTTTGACTGAAAAAGTCAAAATTTTTGAAAAGTCATATTTTATGTTTTTCGACGTCTTGAGTCCGATTCTGAAGTTCGTTTTTCAAAATTCGAACCCTAAAGTCTCAAAATTGTCAGTCAAACCCATTGACTTTGACTTTAACCAAAAAGTCAAAATTTTCGAAAAAGTCATATTTTATGTTTTTCGACGTCCTGAATTTGAATCTGAAGTCCGTTTCGCCAAATTCAAACCTGGTAAGCTGTTTTCCCTGATTTATCAACCGATTCGATATATTTTTCGTAATTAAGCTCCGTTTTTAATGAAATTTCAGTTGATATGTATAAAAGGAATTATTGGAAGTTGATTTCAAGATCGAGGGCATTCGAATGGAATTTAAATGGTCGATTAGTATGACACGGAAATTGATGTAATACATTACTACCTCTTTATGCTTTATGAAACATGTTGATAATGGATAAATGCATGAATGTATATGATTGGTCTATTAAGCCTGTTTGATTATGGATGGATTCAAACCGAATACGGTTTAAGTGATAAATTAGTTACGATTCTATTGAATTACAAGTCTTGTGTTTAAGTGATAAAGGAATTAGTCTTGAATATGTAAATTATAATTTACCTCATTAAAGGTACTTGGATGATAAATTATGAGAATACTTCGATTAGGTAAAATTACGAAAATACCCTTATGTTGTAATAAGGATAAGAATTGACTCTAGATGTTAGATAAGAAATTTTAAAGACATATTGATATGATGAAACTACTGATGTGTACAGAAAATACTGGTTTTGCTTAGAAAATCTGGATAACCGATTTTTAAATCTAAGATGGCTTGTACAAGATACTAGAAGTTTTGTTAAGGAATAATTTAAAGTTTAGAGATTATCCGGGAAAGCAGTTAACCCCAGTATCTCTAAATTATAATTATCCTTGTTAAGAGTTTTAATACTGAAATTATATGGTTAGGAAATTATGAAAATGCCCTTGAGAGGTAAAAAATAGTCCGAGTTGACCATGAACAAGAAAGTACTTTGAGGATTCGTACTTAACTCGATAAATTACAGATTTCATTATTAAGATCATGTATTTTAATAGAAAATTCCTGGTAACCTGTTGTAACATCTGAGAAGGCACTTGAGTCGAAAATCTCCGAGTTATGAATAAATATTTGAATAATAATTTATCGATGGTGATATTTTGTCATAATAGTTTGAAGGGACTGACATAAATGATAAGTTTGAATTTAATAATAAGATCGGACGGAATGAATTATTGTAATACATTAGATCTGTAAAATTACCAAAATACCTCTGGAATGGAAATGACCAAGAATATTACCAAACTCAGGAATGATTGGATATCCTCGAGCTTTGAAATTAATGGAATAAAACTAAGCACCAGAATGACCAAAATACCCTTATGGCCTAGACCAAGTAGATGTTTTGGATTAATTAAGGAATCCAAGTAAATATGGATGTTATACTACCCTTAAAAATTATGGAACACAACTTAAGTGAGCCGATTAACCTTAATGATATATCAGTACCTGAACGGTATAGATATTACTTGAATGTGTGTTCTTCTTCTCAAGTTTGACTCAATTATAATTTTGGAAGTATTCAACTCAGCTCAACTCTAGATCGCATTCAGTACTAAGAATTTGATATTTGTTCGACAAATCAACCATGAATACCGAACTGAAGTGAACGAAAGTACAATATGTATCTGAAATTCAGAAAACATTCGAATTACTCTGGAAAACTCTGAAGTAACCGGGATAGACTTGACTATTAAATGAAATAAGTAACCTCAATGACTGAGGATTAAATAAGTGATTTGGATGAGTCTGGAAACATTAATGAACATATGTGATGTAATGTTCTTATGGGTCATGAACTACAAATCAAGCACGTCAGCATTTCCTGATATCGTGGAAGTGTGAAAATGAAATAAAGAGCATTGGAATATATGTTAGTTTCCTTAAGATCTATTCAGCGATGATTCCGAAGATGATCTATGGACAATAATATTTGGTATTAAAGAGTAAATACCCTGGAAGGGTAATGAATTGACCAATCAACAAACATTCGTTCTGTGAGCTGTTCATTTTGAGTTGTTTGATAATCCGATCAATCGACATAGATTTTAAAGGTCCTGAATCTTTGTTCTCTCTTAGCAGCTCAAATCACTCTGGTCATATCTGAAAACATAAGTAACTCAGATGTAAAGGATTCTGAATAACTGATGATTCAGTCAGTTAATGAACTCTTCCGATAGTAATTATAAATTACAACATTTTATCGGTATACTGAAGATCCGTGTTTATCTGCCTGATAAGATTATCCAATATCTCTGAATAACATCTGGAAACTCTAGTGTGTTCCATAATCACATAAATGTTTTATCTGATTTCTGATTTGAATTCTGTTCTGATTTCTGATATGAATTATGTTCTGATTTTTTATCTGGATTCTGTTCTTATATCTGATATGAATTCTGTTTTGATTTCTGATATCTCTGTATACTGACGGAAAAATGTTTTATTTTGGGTATTGTTGAAGGAAGTATTTCTGCAGGTTCCTCGGCTTTGTGCTCAGGGCCTTATATGTTGTGTGGGTTGGGTGTATGGTTTTGGGGAACTTACACAACATATTGTGAAAGGATGGAGTAGTGATATGTTTTTAAAAAATATATATATTTAAAAAAAATATGTAGTTTTTTACTGGTTTTACGGGAACATACTAGATAACCTAATTCGATCTCCTGAACCTAGACATCTGAAATATTTCCATTTGAACTGAATATTATCTGTTACTACCTGAGATATCAATGGGACCCCAACTCAGCCTAAAAATATGTAGATATCTGAACCAATAAGGAAATATATGTTTATTTGTATTTGCACGTTCTTCAGCATCATCTGGTAATTTTTTTATTACTGAGCTTTCCGAAGCTCACTCTATTACTCACCATTGCAGGTTAAAAGAATTGTACCAGTGCAGTGATCGACTTCAGTAAGGGAGTTCTTCCGGCGTTGTTTGCAGAGTACGGTACATGTGATTAGGGGGCATGTAATTGTATTTTGTTTTATATGAGTCTGAAAATCTGTTTTATTTCTGTACACTGATAAATCATTTTATAAGTTATATGTTTTAATAAAAGTTTTAAATTTTTCGCTATTTTTACAATAGGTTGCTACAGTAGCCCTAATGTAACAACTCAAATCGGATCAAGTTACCCGCATCAGTCTGAGGGGTTACACTTCCGGTGCGGAAAGCATACCCGTTTCACTTGTGAATAAAGTTGAAGATGAAAAGGGCCCCACTCATTTCACATATTTATCTACGATCAAATACTCGAAATTATTCAAGTTAGTGTAACCTTCTTTTGGCTGCGATTGTCGTGAAGCGTCCCTAGCCGGAAACTCAAACTGCTGCTGCATTAAAAAGAATTGAGGTGATTTACCTTACACGGCGTACGAGATTCTAGTGTGTCGAAAACCCATGATATATGAATGTGGCTCCTTGTGCCCTTGGGTACATTCATTTGTGAATATGCTGCTGAAGTAATTGACAAAACTAACACAAGGCAGGATGGGAGAGACGGCGAAATCAAGGAGTGCGTTTTTCAGACAAATCGAGTCTATGAATCATTCAAATAGAATTACGAAACTGAGTTAGTAGGAGAGGAAAGTTCCGACACTGCTGAAGATTATGATATCCCATCTCCCCAACCATAAGTTCAAAGAACAGTGGAAATGTAGCTCGGTTTATGAATCATAGTTGCTCTCCAAACGTTTTCTGGCAGCCGATCATGTATAAACATAACCATGAAGTTCTCTTCCATATTACTTTCTTTGCTAAGAGACATATCCCTCCGATGACAGAGGTGACATACGATTACGGCAATCCACATTCGGATGAGAGCGAAAGCAACGGAGCGGATTATGAAAAAAGAAATGCTTATGTGGATCGCCGAAATGCCAAGGCTATTTTTATTGAGGACAAGCAATACTTTTGAGAATCACTCATCTTTTTCTAATCAAGTAACTCTTATGTATTTCCTTTTTAGTTTTCATAGGTCGTTGTAGGGATGCAGACTGTTCTTCTTATGCCCTTTACATGCAGAACTGACCAGGATTAAAAAGTTCGAAACCAGATATGGCTGTTTTTTTTGTATCCAGGGATTTAAATAGTGGCCGTTTTATAACGGTTTTGGTGCCCTGTAAAATCGTTATTGCATGATCGTGATACTCGTAATATCGGTTTTAGTAACCCTTTACAGGCTTGGCTTTTGAGTGACTGTTCTTTTACCGGACTCTTTGCCAGGGAATTGGCTGTTTGTTTGTGTGTCTAAATACCTGTCAAGGCTACCTTGCATATTTTAATGGAAAATGGTAATCAAAGTTCAAATGGAAAGAAAATTCTGATCGCTTAAATATATTTTTATTTAGTCAACATAGTGAATTAAATGTGTTTTTGGTTAATAATTTAGGGTAAAGTATATGAATGGTCCCTGACTATAGGGTGATGCTTCGTTGAGTCTCTCGACTATTAAAAGTTATAAAATGATCTTTCGACTATAAGGTGTTGCTTTGTTCAGTCTCCCGACTATCAAAAGTTACAAAATGGTTATCCAATTATTTAGTATGTTCAAAACTCGTCTTTTTTTGTTAAGAAATTGACAACAATCTGAGTTGGATGTTAACATGATGACTGAGATATGATAAAATTCGATCCCATAATCTAAAAAATCTATCATATCTCAGTTAACATGTTAACATACAACTTAGACTGTTGTAAATTTTTAACGAAAAAGTACGAGTTTGAAACATACTAAATAGTTAGATGATCATTTTGTAACTTTTAATAGTCGGATGACACAACAAAGAAACATCTTATAGTTGAATGACTATTTTATAACTTTTAATAGTCGAAGAATTTAACAAACCATCACCTTATAATCGATGTACTACTTGTCTACTTTACCCTAATAATTATATACATAATTGTCAAAGAAATGATAAGAGATTATATATATATATATGACCAATCACCCCATGGAGACAATAAATGTTGGAATTAGCGGATAAGTTAAAAGAGGATTATTCTGATTATAACTAAAAACGGATAAGAATGGTTTCTTCATAAGTTTGAAGAAAGAACTTAATATTAAATAATTATCAAAAAAATTTAAAACCAAATTTATTTAAAATTTTAAATTATTAGATAGTTATCAAAATTTCATTTAATATATTTAGTTTGTTTTTAAATAGTTTGTAGTGATTATTCTGATGAAAAATATATGACCAAGTAATTGTTAAAGTGGATAAGTTAAAAAAAGAACTATTCTGATGATAATTTTATAACATATAAGTATGTTTACTTTAGTGAGTTTGAAGATAGAATTTAAATTTGTATAAATTTAAACTAAAATGTTTAATTAAAAAAAGTATTTGAAAATAAAATAATTTTAAAATAATTTTTAGGCTAAAGTATACAAATGGTCCCATAATTATATAATATTATTTTATTGGGTCCCCAACTATTAAAAATTTTAAAATAGTCTTATGCTTTTGGACTAGCGACGAAAAAATGATGTTATCATATACTATAATTAGAGAAAATAACTTCAGTGACCGAAAATGTCTTATAATATACGATTTTAATCAACTTTTTTTGGATTTGCGAAAAAGACCAACAAATTCGTAACACGATCTCAAATTCGCAACGCAAGTTCCAAAATTGCAACGCAAAAGTCAAATTCGCAACGCGAAAGTCAAATTTGCAACGCGAATAGTTAAATCGCAACGATAATATGTAATTCGCAACGCGAATAGGTAAATCGCAACGATAATATGTAAATCACAACGCAAATTCTCCAAATTCGCAACTCGAATTTTGCAACGCTAATTACCGATATAGGTAATTAGCGTTGCGAAAACAAAATTCACGTTGTGATTTTGGAGAATCGCGTTGCGAAAACGAAATTCACGTTGCGATTTTCTAGAGAAAATAACCTCAGTGACCGAAAATGCCTTATAATATATGATTTTAACCAACTTTTTTTAGATTTGCCAAAATGAACAACAAATTCGCAACGCGATCTCAAATTCACAACCCAGGTTCCAAATTCGCAACACGAATTCAGAAAATCGCAACGCGAATTTGTAAATCGCAACGCGAATTTGGAAAATCGCAACACAGAAGTCAAATTCGCAACACAGAAGTCAAAGCGCTTTATTTTTGAAACACAATATTAATTTCACAACACAAATATAAACAGTATTATCGTAAATCATAACCTAAAAACCCTAAATCACAACTCAGTCCCATCTCCATCTCTCTCTCTCTACGGCGACATCAGTTCCCATCTTCGACGAAACTCGTCCCCATCTCCGGTGAAATATGTCTATCTCCATCTCTCAGAGCCACCCTCGCAACCATTCCCGATCAGAAATGGAAAATCTACCACCGAGTGTTAGTTTTTTTAATCTCTTATTTTTATTTTGAAATTTTTGCATTATTATTAGATTTTTCTTATATTGATGATAAATGTACTGGTAATTTCAATATATAGATTAAACATTTCACTTAGATTGCTTAGTAAATTCATTCGGTTGCTGCCAATACTGCTAAACTGTTTAGTCTTTAACCCTATGAAGTTTTATTTGTCTTTGTTTTTTCTTTTTGTTGAAGAAATGCAATTCATTCAAGTTTCAATTTGCAGTTGCAGAAGAATAGTTTTTGAAACTTAAATTCGCAACACGAAAATGAAAATCGCAACGCGAACATGAAAATCGCAACGCGAACATGAAAATAACAACGTGAAAATGAAAATCGCAACGCGAAAATGAAAATCGCAAAGCAAAACTAATTTCTTGTTGCGATTTTCTCGTTGCGGTTTTCATTTTCGAGGTGCAATTTTCATTTTTGCGTTGCGATTTTCATGTTCGCGTTGTGATTTTCATTTTCGCATTGCGATTTTCATTTTCAGAAACTACTATTCTTCTGCAAATTAAAACTTGAATGAATTTCATTACTTCAACCAAAAAACAAAGATAAATACTAACTTCACAGTGTTGTGAATTTAAATTTCAAGAATAAACTACTACTCTTTATGTTGTCCTTGAACCTGCACTAAACCTATATGTTGTCCTTTTAAATGTTTATATACGTGCTTACTTCTGGAATGTTATCTGATACATTTTGTGTACTATGATGGAATAATGACTTGGGTAAATACCGTACTAGTGTGAAACATATTTGGCTTTGTTTTCACTGTTTAATATCATGACTATTTATAGTGTATAATTTGTAGTTTTTGGTATATCTAACTTGGTATGTTTATTGTTTTTGTAGAAATTTTTTCGGCTTCATTTACCTTAAGGAATAAATTAAGCATAGCCACTAAAATTGCGTCGACGCTTACACCTCTACAAAGAAAATTGTTTAAGGATACTTGCCTTGGGCCATGGCTGAATGTACAACATGCGAGGGGAGATACAGTGTTGACCCATTTGTTTCTTCAGACCATGACCAACGATCTACCCAAAAGGATACAACGTGGTGATGAAGAGATATGGTTTCATTTTCCTCCGGCGTATACTTGTTTTAGGCGGGAGGAGTTTTGCTTAATCACTGGTCTACGCTTCGGACATAATGAAGTAACCCGGTACACTAGTCATATCTCCCTCCCATCATGGTTATCTCGGGTTTTTCCTGAGCTGTCAAAGTCGAAGAAGCTGAGTTTACACGTCGACAACTTGAAGAGATTATCTGTTAAAGATGCTTTTACTTAGATGGATGACCATGATGTTGTCCGAGTATGCCACTTATTACTTTTGCATGTCGACTTTTTATGCAAAGAGGGCAGACAACCTATTTCCAAGGACCTAATATTATTAGTAGAGGACCTAAATGCATGGAACCTGTTTCCGTGGGGTTCATATCTATGGAAAGCTACCTGGAAGAAGTTGTCGTCTGCCTTTGAGGACCGAAAAAGTTTACGGAGCGATGGTTCTAAATACACTTTGGCAGGCTTTACTTGGGCCTTTAAGGTAAGAATTTCTATATAATGTTTCCAAATTTATAATTATCTAACAATTACTGATGTTTGTGTATTATATTGTTTGTAGATTTGGATATTTGAGGCTTTCCCCAACATGCAGACATATGCGATAAAAAATTCAAATGATATTCCTAGGGCTATTACCTGGAAGAGGATCCACATGTTGGATTGGGAAGACTTACTACCATATACGACGATGAATGATGTAAGTTAACACACAAATACTACCATATATAAACAAGTTATTACTAGTACACGTTTAACTTTGTTTGAGCTTTTATATTGTTAGGAGGCCAACTATCCATTACAGAGGCTGACACCCTTAGAGGCTGAGCTTGCCACTGATTGGTGGCAAGCTAGTAAGCGATTTTTTGATGGAACGGATGATGAGCACCCCCCACTTCGAGAGCCATCACCTGATCGGGCCGATTCTATAGCTCGACACCCAGAACCATCACCTGATCGAGCCTCTTCTCCACCTCTACCATCACCTATTCCATCACATCATCGAGCCTCTTCTCCACCATCAACTCATGATAGACGACTGACAAAGAGGCCACGACACTAATCTCCCTTTTCTCTACCTCCACGGGATGAGTTAGGGGAGTTACGTGATGAGGTCGGTACTTTGCGTCATGAGGTCGGTACTTTACGTGAAGAGAATGGTGCATGGCGTGACAAGGTTCATTCTTTACGTGGTGAGGTGGATGTTTTACGCGATGACAATGGTGCTTTATGTGGTGAGGTATCTACTTTACGTGATGAGGTGGCCTCTCTACGTGAGATTATTTCATCATTGCAGAATGAGGTTCATACTCTACGCAATGAGGTAAATTTGTTTAATACTATACTAAAAATGCAAATAACCTATTTTTGGCATTATTTATTTAAATATTTACTGATTTATGTATTAATTTATTTTCAGCAGCCCGATAAGGTAGATGCTTTTT